TTGCTCTTTGGCGATCGTCCTTTTTTTTTACTCTTTGACGATCGTCTCCTTCTGCTCTGCTTAGCTTCCTCTGCTCTGCTCTGCTTAGCTTCTTCTTCTGCTCTTAGCTGAGCTTCTTCTTCAGCTCTTAGCTGAGCTTCCTCCTGTGCTCTTAGCTGAGCTTCCTCCTCTGCTCTTAGCTGAGCTTCCTCCTCTGCTCTTAGCTGAGCTTCCTCCTCTGCTCTTTGCTAGCTTCCTCCTCTGCTCTGTGCTGAGCTCCATCTTCTGCTCCTCTCTGAGCTTGCTCCTCGCTGAGCTTGCTCCTCTGCTCTTTGCTAGCTTCCTCCTTTGCTCTGTGCTGAGCTCCTCTCTGAGCTCTATCTTCTGCTCCTCGCTGAACTCCATCTTCTGATAATAGAGTTTCAGATACACTTCTGTGGAATAGAAAATAATCTTATATAAATACCACTGTCTTAGACTTACCGTATGAAATTAGGAAATATATGCAATTAAAATTCTTAGTTATAACTTTACTTATATTACAATAAAAGAGTAGTTTAAATAAATTGTTATTATGAATTGTTTTTTAGGTTATGTATGCTACTACAGAAACAAACCTTTCTGAAGCAGTAAGTGAATTGCTAAAGGAAAAACAGCATCCACAATTCGTAGCAAGATTTAACTCTTTTTTCCTACGAAGAAAAGAATGGGTCTTGCTGGACAGATCAATAACCAGAGACAATAATACCAACAACTATGCCGAGTCAACGATTCGCATAGTTAAAGATATTGTCTTAAATAGAACCAAAGCCTTTAACGTAGTAGCTTTGGTCGAATTTTGTATGGAGGTTTGGGAGAAATTTTTAACCAGAAAACTTTTGGAATATGCACACTCTCGCAGGAGAAATATAGATTTAATATTTAAATCAGTGTATGAAAAAAGCAAATACATTAAAGATGAAAATGTGCGAGAGTGTGCACCAAATTTGTTTGAGGTGCAGAGTGAAAATGATGTAAATAAATCATACACTATTAACACTGAATTGGGGGTTTGCACTTGCCCAACTGGAATGCATGGGGCATTTTGCAAACACCAGTGCTTTTTCCTTATGGAAAAAAAACTTTCTTTACCCAATGCACCCCCCATTTCAGTAGAGGAAAAATATGCATTGGCCAAATTAGCTTTAGGTGATAAGTGTCCCCCTCCTTCCTTTTTCTCTGAGTTTATAGAAAAAGATACTTCAAATCCCCCTTTACTAGAGGAGGAAATGTCAGCAGAAAATAACCAATCAAATGAAACCTTTGGCATGGAAATAGAACCTCTCAATCAAGATGCTAATGATGAAAAAAAAAATGAAATGGCTGTAGAACTCGATAGAATAAAAAATGTTCTTTGTCAAAGTACATTAAAAAATAGAAAAGTTAATGATATAGTTAATAAATTAAAACAAATCAAATCAGCCGATGATTTTGACAAACTAATGTTTTTTAAGTCTACTTTTCGTGAAAGAAAAATTAAAGTCCAACCGACTTCCATTTCCAGACGGAGAGTAGGCTTGACACGCACTAAAACAAGAGTTCCAGGCGGGCGGCCTCCTGGCAAAATAATCAAATCTGTAAAAAGGAAACGATCTCTAAAATTAAATATTAGCAAAAATAGACCAAACGCTAAGTCACACTAGTCAAATTAATATTTTTTACCCAATTGATTTTAAAATTAACTTTTATTTTTTTGCTACAATTTTTTTTAAACATGAAATTTGTTCACTTAATAACTTGTGCTAATACTTACCATATTATGAATTCATTAATTTTTGTATTTTTTCTGCTCAAATTTTAATTTAAAAAACCCTAATGTTCTATGGCCATTTCCTTTTTGATTAGATAATTAAATACATATATTAAATTCAATGCTAACTGAACGGCTATAAAAATTGTAATAAATACTACAAATTCTTTTAATTACAACTAAATATAAATTTTTTTAAACTTATTCTTTTGGTTATTTTCTGCTGATATTTGGGTAGTTCTCTGCTATAAAGCTTAAATGTCAGACTATTAGTCCCCTCCCCCAGATATATGAATGAGTTATTTGCTCAAAGTATATTTTGAAGATTACATTTCAGTTTATTATAAGTTTAAAGTATTATTTGAAATAAATTTTTTATTAACAATTTAACATTATGTAATTTAATTTCCTCGCTTGTAACTCTTACCAGTTACAAATGCAAAAAATTTTAATGTTTTTGTTGTTCAACCTTTACTTTTTAATATTAATACCTGTAATGCTGTTACTATGAATGAAGTAGGTAAAGTTTTTGGTCTTGAAATAGGTATCATATTGAGCAAAAAATTTGAAACTCATAATTTATAATCCTTCACTCGTAATGATTCAAAATATTTCAGGTCTAAGAAATTATTATTTGTATAAAAGCGTTGCACATGTTCTGCAAAAGAAACTCAAAACCAAATATCATTAAATTGGGACAAGTTTTTGGTGTGTAAAAATGAAACTGAATAAATAAATTGGACAAATTAAAACATTGATTTCCTATAGTGAGATATTTGAATACATATTATTATTTAAGTTTATTAATGAAAATTAACTTCAGAAGCAGTTAATGCTATTCAGGCAAATAATACAAAGTTACATAATTGTGATGGCTTATATTATACAGATAATTTATTTTTTGAAAAATGCACCAATAACTGTCTTTATTTCCTATTATGGTGATTTAAGAACATATTTTATTTTATTCACGACAATAAACTTCAAAACCAAATAATGTTTATTTTCACATTCTTTAACTGAATGCATTCTTAAGATGCCTTTAAAAACATAAGAATCAATTTCAAGTTAAAATATATATTTTGATTTCACTATTTTTTTAAAGCAGTTGAGAAATGACATGGATTTCAATATATTCATAGACAATTTTATTTTAAACAATTACTAAATCTAATTAAACTACTAATTATTTACTAAAACAATAATTTTCACTTTAATAAAATACTTTAAAAATTTTTAATATTTAGCACAACTAATCTGTTTTCTTGGCAAATGTCCTCTCCCATAACTTATTATATAAAATAAGAAATGTCTGACATAATTCTTTATCGATGTTGTCACTATTTGAATATAGCCTATTGGTATTGAGATTTACTCATTCAACTTCTTAATTTTTGATACATTTATTTCAGTCACAAATCTTCAGTGTTAATAGTGTAGGATTTATTTATTTTGCACAATTGAAACAATCATTTTTATTTATTGTAATATTTCTGTATTATATTATTGCATAATTAGAAGGAAAAAGAATGCTTATATCAAATTATTACAAAAAGTTTTAACCAAATTACTCCAGACTAGGTTAAGCTGTAATATCCATATGCCTTTATTAATATATGTGTAATGATATCATATAAACAAAAATTAAACCCAAACAATTTGTTTTCTTGTTCATGTGCTTATTAAATGTGGAAAACATTAAAGTTCCCATTCCTGCGGTCGTTGCGTTGAAATATTTAAGAAATTACTTCACTTTATTTTTTTGTATTTCATTAATTATTATATGTTTATTTGAATGTATACTCAATTCATTAATTAAATATTTGAGAAATGTCTCAAGATTCTATTTAATTTTTTGTATGTTTATTTTAATGTTTACTAAATTCAGTTCTAATTTAAAAACAATTAAGAAAAAAAAAAGTTTGTAAGATAAAAATCTGACTTTTTTCACATATATTATACATATATTATATTATACAAATAACATTCACATATACAAATAACATTTACATATTCACATATATTATATTATACAAATATAATTGTTAGTTACAGCAATTGGTAAAATACCATAGAATAAATAAATGTAGGATTTATTTAAAAATTAAACAAAAATGAGAAATCAATTAGATAAATTTTTATTGCTTAGTTTAAAAAGCAATTGCAAAACATTTTTAGCACAAAATGGTATCAAAGAAATTAAAACAGATATAAAAACCATTTATAATATATACCTGGAACAAAATAGTCTTGGAACTTCAAGAATCGGTACATAAAATCTGATAGATACTGAGTTCAATGAAAGCCATCACCAAATAATTTCTTCTATCATACAGCAGATAGATTTTTTTAAAAGATCCAGACTTTTACACTTTTTCCAAGAAACTGAAACAAAAATCAGACACAAACTTAAATTGCAGTACATTTTAAAAATAAAATTATTTTGAAAACATCATAGCAACTGAATTTCGGATGAAATTTTTTTTTACTAATTGTGTATTAGATAACACTACAGTCAAAAAGTTCGGGTTACAAAAAAATCTTAAGTCAGAGGGTAACGTTTGTTTAATATCTGGCCTTTTTCTATAATAAAAGGTAAAAATCAACAGAAACCTTGGGGAAAAGACGACTTTTGCCCAGGAATAAAAAGAGTTTTTCAGAAATATTCTATATATATCTATGTATATACAAAGGAATTAATAAAGAAACGAATTAGAGATATTTAAGACTTTTGGGCTTCCATTTATGTGCATTATAAAATTACGGAAATGATGCATCAGAAAATGCTAAGCCAGTTTTAAATTATAAATGAACACATAAATAAAGGGAATTCCTAAAAGCATCGCCAAATCACGCGTTGGAATATAAAAGCACATATTAAACATTCACCGCACAAGATAATTCTACTGTATTTTACAATAAATTAATTTGTTGCAAACTTGTAATATATTTTAATTTAAAAAAAATCATCAGTTTGTATCTAATTTATATTGTATCTAATTGTATTGCATGAAAAGGGATCATAAAACTTTAACAGTTGCTTCCTAAATTTTATGATTTTATTGGCTATACATAAATGTTTATTAGAATTAATAAATAAATCAAAATAAATAAATTAGACAAATAAATTATTCCAATAAAAAATAAACAATTACAATGTGCATGCACATTTCATTAATGTAAGCTTATTAATAGATTTCATTCATCTTATGCTTTCATGAATTGATGTTTATTATTAAACTACTGTTTGCAGCTAACAGTTTTTTTATAAAATATAATATTAACCTCAGGATTATCTTCCATTTTTACTACAAAACCTTTATCATCAGTTTATTTATATCCTAATTTGTTAACAAAATTAAGACCACTGAAATAATTTTTGTTTTACTTATACATTTTTATGCTATATGTATAGTTTTTGAATTATATTTATTAGAGAAATAGTTAATTTTAAAGCACAATTTAATTTCCTAATTCAAAAAACAAAAAACATTAGAAATTTAGCTTTAACTGATAAAATTTGAAAATTTCTCTTGGTAGGTTTAAGCTTTTTTTCCTTGATAAACTCTGGATAGTATTAAAATAAATAGATATTGAACTGTCCGAAGAATGTCTTATGGAAAAATCAGAGGTCTGAATACTGAAATATCAGATATCTGAAAATACTCATTGGTCGCCAAGACCATGCAACCAAGTCATAAGCTACAATATAACAACCAAGATATAAACTACAATAATACACCTAAGTGAATAAAATAAATATCTTAGTCATAATGATAACAATACATTTAGTATTATACTGAAATCATTATCAATAACACAATGAATCAAAAGATAACATTGTGATTATAAACAATGACTGTTACATACAATATTAGAAAGAGGTGATAAATATTATTTAGTACCAAAGATATTGGCCAATGTTAAAATAACAAATTAGTAAAGATGAAAAGCATAGAAATATATTTTTAATTATTATATCATATATCATAAAAAATGTGTACTTTAAAGAATTTATTAGGAGTGTTAATTTAAACTAAATTAAAACTATCTTAGTAAAAAAATATCTTAGTGACAAATTCTTAATAATAAATTCCTTTATTTTATAACTTGAAAGCTCTGGGATTAGCAATAATTATTTTAATTATAAATGGGAAAAAACTTAAAATTTAATTACCTTTTTTTACTAAAACCAACCATTGCTTCACCTTGGGTGCATTTGAAAGGTAAAAAAAAAAAAAACATTAAATGTTTATTGTTGAATACTAATTAATAATAATGCTCTTTTAAATATATATATGTAGTGTAATAAACATTCGATCCTAAATATATATCAATAATAAAACTCTTCTGTTTCTGAACCAAAACAACTGGTTTCATCAGTTGCTGCTGAACTAATATGTTTTTTATAGGAAACTCCCATACATATCAGAATTAATAAAATTTAAAAATGCAATTTAAATTTTAATATATATAATTATTCGTCTAGTCTTCGCTAGTGCCATATCTACAGTAACGCACTTATCTTCCTGGTAATAGTTTAATTTCTTTTCTGGAGCATATAAACTTTAACTTAACAATTTGTACATGGATGTGCACAACAAAATTAAGGGGACACGGGACCTTTCAAATGAAAATTTATGAAAACTTGTTTTTTAATTTAATTTTACTATTATGAACATAATTTATTTATTTTTTAGCATATTTTAGGAAATAGGCGAAGAAAAAACAATTTTGGTCAAAAGTTTTTTAAAAATTTAATAAAATATGAAAATTTTAAAAAATACAAAAATTGTCCCTTGTGTCTGAAATTTCATCCAAATAATTTAAAATTTTTTCTATAGATAGATAATGATGATATAAAGACTCTCTAGCATCAGTTATTGTTTCACTTCAACAGGTTTTGAGAAAAAAAAAATTTTTTAGTTCCGACGCTTTTTTTTTTCGAAAATTTTCATTTCCTCCTACAGTTAAAGTTGTATAAAAAACTTTATAATTAATATTTCGTGAAAACAATGCTACATTGTCTTTATAACAGTCATATGAAGCATATGAAAAATTTTCAGGCAAAATTTTCAAATATTCAGACACAAGGGACAAATTATAGAAGTAAATTATGCAAAAAAAGTTAACGGAGAAAAACTACTTTTTTTGTGTAAATTAACTAAAACTCACAGTTTGTGTAAATTAACTAAAACTCGAAACTCCAATTTGGCGTTACCAAACAGTGTCACATTACACTAATTAAAAAATATTTTATAGAAATATTGATTTGAACATAAAAAAAAAATCAAAATAAGCATGATAACTACAATGTAAACTAACAGACAGCTTATGGAACGTCAAAAGTGCCACGCCCACTTTTCAGAAAAATAGCTATAAAATCATAAAAAATCATCGTATCGAAAAAGTTTGAACAACACGTGATTCAGGCTGACTATCTTTACATTTTTAGTAAAAAAAATTTTTTTGGAAATTTTATGATTTCAAGGTCCCGTGTCGCCTTAAGTTGTCAAAAAATTTTTTTAATATTTCAATATATAACTATACGTTTTCGAGACAGCACAGAAAAACGTTACAGCACAGCATTATTCAAATCTTTTACTACTGTATTATTGCAAGACACGTGAAACACAATAAAAATCACTACTATTTAAATGTTTATGTCATAATTGCAAGATTACATAATTATAATTTATCTAATTCTAAGAGTGAATATGGAACGATGATGAAGTATCCTCTATATATGGGGTGTTAAATAAACAGTCAACGTAAAGCAACTAATTGAAAACAAAAAATATATTAAAATTTGTCAGTTGTAAATACAAACAAAAGTTTAATGAAAATGATAAATTACTTACTTCACAGCATTATTAATTCACAGTTTTGCGCTCTATAGTTTCAACAGAAAAAAAAATAAACATGGTTGAATAGCGCGCTTTGCTGATTTCTGCCACATCACAGCGCCTCAGAACAGTACAAGGCATGGTGCGCGCGCACTTGTGTCTGCGGGTACAACCGGCTGAGCAACTGCGCATGCGCAGGGCGAACATTAAAGAACATTGGCAGTTGAACGAACATTGGCAGTTGTAAACAGCGAAAAAGTGCCAAATATTGCAAACCTATCCCTTTATAACTGGCTGCGAGATTTTCGGCTTTGGATGGAAAGTTTATCAAATCATTGCCAGATGGCGCTAAATTTCAACGAACAGATGGTGATAAGAGGAATAAATTTTCATTTAATAATGATATTAAGTTTTCAATGAATTTTTAGAATATACATGATTTTTTAAAATTGTCTTATATTCGTGAAAAGAAAAAATAAGTGTGCTGATAGCTACAGTAATTAACTTATACTACTAATATACTATCATATAATTAATCTTATATAATAGTATCTTTGGCTATACATCTTATATAATAGTATCCTTGGCTATATCTTTAAAAGTATGCAAACACATGATAATTTTTTATTTCCACGAATTTTTCTAACATGTGTATGCATATATATGCATTCCAAATTCATGTGAATAGTTAGATAAATAGCTATATATTAACAAAATCTATTATTTAAGTGATAGTACATATTTTTCTCATTAAGACATTGTATACATTTAAAGCCAACTTCATACAAATAGGTAAAATTATAGTTGTGTGTCATTATATGTAAATTAATTTTACATGATTAAATATTGCAATTAATGTGATTAAATAATATAATTTCAATATGATTATGACAATCTTACTGCTTTAATTATTATTTCTCACGTGATTAGGCGCAGTATAATTTGCCTTAAAATATGTATTTGTAACACAGAAGATTTAAAAAGATTCTTAGAATTGAAGAAACAAATATAGACAAGCATATAATGACACTTAACTGAAATTATACATTTTAGTTGTTAATTATGTGGTTTTGAACAGTTAAGTACAATTTAAAAACTATTGCCAATAAATAATGTTTCATGGAAATTCAGCCACTTAATAACCCTTTGCATTCTGAGTACAATAAAATGATTTATTTTTCTTACAAGTTTATCTAAAATATACAATGGATTACCAATTTTTAATAACTAACAATTATAAAATAATGTAATTAAAAATAAAATAAAAATTTAAATGGTTACTTTTGATGTTACTTCAGAATGATTAGAAAATTTCAAAAATAATAGGTATATCCTTTCTTAAAATATAAGATATCTTGCCATATTGTACTTTAGTCTATACTGCTATTATGCCTTATACTTACTGAAGTAATAAATATTTATCAAATAAGTAACGCCAAGAGAAGCATATTTTATCTTAAAAAACCATTTAACACACTACAAAATATTAAAATCACAAAACAAACATCAATTAACAAAATTACCCAACTAAAACTGTATATAAGCCTGTGTACTAGTAAAAACTGCACAGTATACTTATCATTTGGGAATTCATGTGAAAACCTTGTACAAGCTGTAAATAATAAAAAAATTAGGCATGATAAAAATGCACCCTCTTGCAATAACAGTTACACAGTACGTATAAGCACGAACATAATGATTGGTGATTAGAAGATTAAATAATAAAAGTATTCCATTGAAATTGTCATTATTTTTCTTTTAAATCTTCATATACAGGCATTCAAATTTCATCTATTTTACGTTTTGTATGCAAGTTTCACAATTTTTACCAACTGTCATTATTCCACCACAAAAGGAGAGGCACTTTTGATAATGCCCTAGTGTAAATTTTCAAAGCTAGTGAACCGGATAAGCTGACCTCTCCCCTTTAGCATTCATAAATGTTTTGCTCATGATAGGACATGGTAATTAAAACACAATGGGCACCAAAGAATACCTCACTAACTGTCCTACTTTGGCTCTTAGATTTAGTAAGATAATGCAACACTTAATACGCACCATACAAAATTGTTTAACATCTAGGTGTCCAAAATCCATAGGTTAAATGAACTATTTCTATTAGCTGCTAAAAAGACATATATAATGCAGTATATGTTAATCCACATACAACTTAATAATACAATATATATCTCTTTTATGAGGATGTATACAAAAACCCATATACATATAAGGTAAAATACTCACCATTATACTTACTAATACACCCATATTATCAGATTCCCAAAAAACTCCACATCAAGAAAGTTGCTTGTGGAAATCAAAAGATGCGGCTTAGAAGGGGCAATAGAAAGAAAGACTTGATATCAAAATAATAAACAAGTTCCCTCACTAAAGCCCCACTGAGCCATCGTGCATCATAGATTATCGTTTAACTGCATAAAGTTTAAGGTAATGCTTGCACAACCTCTGCTTAAGAAATTTTACAGTACTAACATACATTCTGGTATTTCATCAATTATTGATGGGAAATATACATAATTATAAAATAATCTTAACTTTACTGGAATTTTGCACAAGTAAATTCAGTTGAAAATATGTTGCTAAATAAATCAATTAGTAAAAACTACACCAATTATAAAACAATGAATGAATCAGATAACATTTGAAAGATTTAATACGGTGCTCTATTATATTAACTTAATTAAATTTAATTCGATGTGATATACAAGTCTACAGTTACCACATTACTACGTAAGCTCAATCATAGTAGTCAATTTTTTTAATCATAGAAAAACAATAGGGATTATAAACACAATACGTCTAAAAACTTCAATAAATTCATCTTAATAAGCATCATAATTTAAGAATCTATATACGGTTATATAATCTTAAAGAAAAGTAATTATAATGTCAATGTAACACCATTTACAATTAATAACATTTTAATTGACACCTTTAAATACCATATAATTTCCTTTTATTATAGTTTCTACATACATAAAAGAATTAGAAGAACAGTTCTGAAATTTTTTAATGATTATTGTTTATATATGCAAAAGAATAAACTATCGAATCTTTAAAACAATACTCTTTTATTAACAGACATTTCTTATTACAGTGTTTTCATCATAGAAAAAAAATGGGTGAGAATTTCTCACCCTTTCTCAAAAACAGGGTGAGATTTCAAAAAGTTAAGTGAGATTTCTAAAAACTAAAAAAACACAAAAACTCTTGAAAAAAAATCATTTCTTTAATTTGTAACGTCTTCTATTTTTTAAAGCATTGCATATTTTTGGTGCATCATCATAGAAGATTTTGTCTTTAAAAGGTATTTGTCTATCTTACATTAGCACATAAAAAATTTGAACGTCTTACATGAAGAAACCTTACCTACGGTAAACACATGGTTGCAGAGGAATGTGTTCTGAAAGGGGTTCCGTGGTTGAGTTCTGTTGTTCGAAAAGGTTCTGAACAATACTGGTAAATAGGGAAGCTAGATAACGGGAGAGATGTTGAAAATAATGAAAGATCCAGGAAGAAAAGTGAAAGGGATTTTATTCTAAATGGCATAGTTCGAAACCTTTTCCAAAATGCGAGAAATTCGCGAATTTTGAAATTGATTTATAGAATACGCGAATTTCTCGCGGTAATCATTTTTTAATGCGAGAAAAGAAAAAAATATGCGAGATTCTCGCGTTGTAGTGAAAACACTGTATTATATTAAAGATAAAATAGGAAAACAAATGTTACTAAGCCTAACTCAGTAACGTGGAAATCTTTAACTACTTTATCACAGATAATTAGAATTATAAAATGTCGTAAACGTTTAAAAATACATTAATGCTATATTGTAAACAGAAAAAAATTATTTTAAACAATTAACTTACTTTATTTACTGAATCAAAAATGAAGAGCATAAAATAGCAATAGAAGCTACACTTGATTACACCTGTAAGCAACAAACTATGCATACCTCCGCGCAATTTTTTCAACAGGGTTACTTTTTGAAATTATTTGGTGAAAATTAAATTCTAGCCAAGCATTTCAAGCGCATGCGCAGTTGCTCAGCCGGTTGTACCCACAGACATAAGTGTGCGCGCGCACAAATCAACTCTGACGTCATTGCACAGAATCTTATTTCCCCGAGAGAGGGGAAAAATCAAATATTCCCTGGCTTAAGGCTGATTACCGTTGGGTTTTGGAATCGTGCTTCCCGCACGATGCACCAAAATGTGCACGATTACGACGAATTGAACTACGATGAACTATAATAATAATAACATTTTTTTTTACATAACGGAGGTAAGTTCACACAAGCTGCGGAAGACCGCAGGCAATCCTTTTACGTGACTATCACGACTACAACTGTATTACAACAAACTTAGGGGAGGCAGCCGGTAGCTGCTTACTTCGCTCTTTTTCATTGAAATGTGCGCCAAAGCTCCTTGTGCAAATTAATTCGGCACAGGGTATAAAAATAGTCTTCAATTATAGATTTTTTCGGAAGGGATCAAATAATATTTTAGTACCTATATATTATACTATTCACTAATATTAATTTATTTTTATATAACTTTAAATGACATTTATATTTTATGATACTAACACAGATACTATTAATCAAAATTGTTTATTTATCATAAAACTAAGTTTATTTAATCAAAACACTATACTTTGCATAAAATACCATTAAAAATAAAATTTCGCAGAAATTTAGGATAGAATATTGCATTATCCTTTTAATCGAATAACCCGCTCAATTGCATAGATTTGGCTGGAACTGATGATATTCCTTTAATAACATTTTACTATGGCCTATTCAAAACTGTTATACAAAAGTTTTTAAATATATTTTCTAAGCATTAAATCTGAGGAAATTTGCTATTATATATTCTTTGTAGATTAAAATTCAAATTATATTTTTATTATTAAACAGTTCAAGATTCTTTCTTTAAATTTAAACTTCATCTAATTTGTTTTATATTGTAAAATTTTAATGTTGATACTGCATAATGCATATGCATGTTACATAAAATATTTATAAATCTTTGTGACAGTTTTCTTCAATCTTTTTGTTCTTATTCTCTTCTTTTTAAGTACTAGAAATTAGTCAAAATAGTTTATGGGTGAGAGCTTATAAATTTCTTCATTCATAGTTTCAGTGTATTCCATTAACATTATTTCCTTAAACTAATATGTTTAATTTACTATAAAAATTATTCCATTCAATATATTGTTCTTTTCCATTTCAAATGATTTGTAATCCAATGATGTTTTTACCAATAAAATTTTTTAAACTAAGAACTATTGCTTGTATGTTGCAAAAAATAAAATTTGATTTCAGTGGAGTTGTATAATAAATTTTATAAATAGTATATTTTTCTATATTAGATGTAAAAGGCTTCAGCATGCAAA